TCGCCCGGAAGCCGGGCACCTGTGTCTCTGCGGCGCCTCCTGGCGGCCCGGCGGGCGGGGCGGGGCGGGGCGGGGCTCGCGGCCGCTGGGGGGCAGCAGACCCCGTCTGAGGACTGCGGTCCCCGCGGGCTTGGAGACCAGGTCACTGCCACGCAAGGACGCGGGGGCGGGCATCGGCCTAGGTAAGGGCAGGGGCTCCTCCTGATGCGATCCAGGCAGAGCTGCCCGGACTTGGGAGCCGGATGGGGGCGAAGGGCGGTTCGAGGGAACACTCCTGCCCTCCGTGGTGTCTCCTTTTTATTCAGGCAGAACCCCAGCGGCTTCTCACCCGCCCCCCAGGACCCAGGGGAGAACGGACAGAAACTAGTTTCAGCCACAGCAGGAAATGCAGGCAGATTTGTACTCGGACACAGCTGGGTGGGAGCAGCAGGCCGTGTCCGGGTTCTGCACAGCAGCGGGACTTCCATCCATAGGCCATGGTCAGGGCTGCCCTGGGGTCTGGCAGCACCGCAGGGCTTTGCCCCTCCTGCTCTCCATCAGGGGCAGTGGGGGGGCAGGTATGGTCAGGAAGGCGCAGCTGGAGAGCCTGGGGGTTCCAGGGACCCCTTCCCCACGCATACCTTAAAGCTGAGACGCAATAAGAGCTTTGAAAGTCTCTGCCCACCCAACTATTGCTTTCCCTGATTCTGATACGGAGGATCCTGTTTTCCCAGTTCATGTTAAAGCCTCTAATAAATTCCTAACTTCTAATGTCCTGGCTAAAGTCTAAAAGCCAGTCTTTCCCTAAGGCTTGTGATTGGGTGAGCTCCCAACAGCTGGCTTCAGCTCTGTCCCAGTCCTAGGATTTAGGGGAGGAGCTGCTTGGAGGAGGGGTCATTTTGCTTGAATTTTATGGGCTTATAATGCCCGTTTGGGGCTCTTGCTTTGGCTTAAATCTTTGGCTGTTCTTTCTGCCAGACTCACTTCCTGTCTCTCCTGGACAGAACGGGGACTCCCCCACCCAAGGGGTCCTGCACTCCTCTCCCAGGTCCCTCTGACTCTGAGTCTGCACAGCTGGCCTCTCACGTGGACCAGGAGCCCAAACCTCACTCACTCCTGGGTTTTGCACCTCCTTTGAGGTGTCATCCAGCCATTGCAGCTCCTTCCCTGGTTAGTCTGAAACCGAGCTCATATTTTACTAGTAGAGGAGGCAGGGAAAAATCCAGGTAAAAAAAAAGAAGACCAAGAAAAAAGAGAGAAGGGAAACAAGCCAATCTGGCCCAGCCTGCATGGCTCAGTGGTTGAGCATCGACCTATGAACCAGGAGGTCATGGTTGGATTCCTGGGCAGGGCACATGCCCGGATTGCAGGCTCGATTCCCATTGAGGGGTGTGCAGGAGGCAGCCCATCAATGATTCTCATCATTGATGTTTCTATCTCTCTCTTCCTTCCTGTCTGAAAAAAAAAGAAAAAAAGAAAAAGAAAAGAAAAGAAACAGGCCAGCCTGGACGTGTGTGTCACGTCCTTTGCACCCCAGGGCAGCCTCTCTAAGGTCCTGTCAGTGAGACAAACCGAAGAGCATTGAGAAAGGCTGTGGGACTGAGAGAGGGGCAGCGAGGCTCCTCCTGCTCCGGTCCTGCTTTCCCTGCTAATGATACCCAGGCGTGGGGGTGGGCAGGTCACCCTAAAAATCTAACCCTGACGTGACCCTATATAAACTGACCTTTTTTGGCAGCAAGGCTCCCTGCAGCCCAGCTTCTCAGACGTAGTCTGGGTCTGTCCACGCCCAAATCTATGCCTCCTGGTCTCAAACCTTCACAAAACGCTCAGTCTGGCTTCTTCTTGCCTTAAGCCCATTTTGTGACGGACCCATCCCTGGTTCTCAGCACCGTTCAGTTCACACAGCCGACAATGGGGCCTGCGGGTCTCAGTCACACTCTGGAGATTCCAAAATCCTCTCTGCCTTTGTCTCCCCGGCTCCCCCACCTTTCCTGCCCTTTCTGTGGGTCTTCCTCTGCTGTTCTGGACCCTTCTACGTCCCCCCCACAGCTCATTCTGGCCAGCCGACACCTGGCCCCATGCCTTAGCCTCCACTCTCAGCTCAGCCAGAATAAGGATGTGGACAAACAGGACAGAGGAATGACAGCAAGGGCCAGATGTTGGACACTCCTCTGACATGTGCTGGAAGGAGCGGACTTGCGGGAGAGGAATCGGGTGCGTTAGAAAATGGTGGTGAGATGGGATGAGGATGGGAGAGAACTTGAATTTTTGAGGGACTTGGTGATCTTGAGTAAGAAAGTATCATTGGGTCACTGTTGAGTGGTCAAAATTGAGGGCAGAACCTGGCTGGCGTGGCTCAGTAGTTGAGCATTGACCCATGAACCAGGAGGTCAAGGTGCAATTCCTGGTCAGAGCACATGCCTGAGTTGTAGGCTCGATCCCCAGAGTGGGGCATGCAGGAGGCAGCAGATCAATGATTATCTCATCGTTGACTTTTCTAACTTTCTCTTCTTCTCTGAAATCAATTTAAAAATGTATTTTTAAAAACATAAAAACTCGAGGGCAGAAGAGGAAGTACCTGAGTGACCCCAGCAGTGGGCAGGTAGACACCCGGAAACCCCCCTGACGTCTTTCTCTCTTCGTTTTTATCTTGTCTTGGCTCCTGTGTCTCTTTGAACGACGGCTTTCGGATGCTGCTGCGTGTGTGCATCTCTCTGAGTCTCTCTGTCTCTAGGCTCCCCCTGCCTCACTGTGCCTGAGATCTGTCTTTTACCATTTCCACCTCTGTGTTTCTCTCTCTGGGTCTGCCCTGTTCTCTCTCTATGATGCTAAACAGAACCAACCCTCCGACTTCCCTGCCAAGAGCTTTGGAACTTCCCAGGAGCGGCCGCACTTCTTCCCTTGGCTGCGCTTCGAACTGGACCAGTGTGTGGCCCTGAGTACAGGCATGGGGTCATTTTTTTTTTTTTTTAAATTTCAGAGAAAGGAAGGGAGAGAAAGACAGAAACGTCAATGATGAGAGAGAATCATGGATCAGCTGCCTCCTGCAGGTCCCCCCCCACCACCCGCCCAGGATCAAGCCTACAACCTGGGCATGTGCCCGGATTGGGAATCTAACCGTGACCTCCTGGTTCATAGGTCGACATTCAACCACTGAGCCCCGCTGGCCCAGCGGGTGTAGGGTCTTGATAACTGATGAAGACCTGAGCTTCCATGTTTGGGGCCTTTTCAGGGAGTGGGATTCCCCCACAGAAGAGAGCGTGGAGGCCTGGGCCTGGGAGGGAGCGGCTGGCAAGGGGAGTGGGCCGCCCCTTTGTCCCTCTGCCCTTTCCTTAGCCTCTGGCCAGTCTCTCCGGCCGTGCTGATTGCCCCATGGAAATCTCTTGATCTCAGACCTTATGCCCCTCTAGAGCTGCGGAGGAGCCGGGGGTCCCAACAGTCTTTAGGGCGAGCCTGGAGGGAGGTTCCCAGGGGCTCCCGTGAGAAGGCGTGATGCACATCTGGGGGGTGTCTTCTGGTTCCCTCCCCTGCTGCTCCCTCAGGCCTGACACGCAGCTGCACCGCAGCTCAAAGGCTCCCAGCCTCGCCTCTGGGACTGAAAGCCAGTGCAGGTCAGGGTCCAAGTCTCCGAGGCCGAGAGCCAGTCCTGCTGCCGTGGGGCCTTGGGGTGTCCAGGAACCAGAAGACCTGGCCCCAGCTTTCCAGGGCCGCCAGGGAGCGAGCCTCGTGCCCTGGACGAGGGCCTCTGGCCAGGCCGCTGCCCTGCCTGCTGAGCCTGAGGGGGAGCTCAGGGCTGGGACTGTGGGTGCTGATGGGGAGAGAGAGGGAATTGGGGTTCACAAAGATGAGGGGAGGCTGACAGTAAATTCAAAAGAAAATCTGCCCTCAAATGACAGGAACCCTCAGTTCCTCCAAAAGCCACCTCCCCTGTGTCCTCTGTGGTCTGGTCTCCCCGGTCTCCCCGCTTGCCCTGGCTCCCGCCCTCCAGGCTCCCACAGCCCTGGTGCTGGCTCTTTCTTGCTCGGGGTCTCATTTGCTGCCGGCAGCTGCGCTGGGGCTGGGCTGACGCTTCATCGTGGGAGGCCAGGCGGGTGGTGGCCAGAGCAAGCCTGATGGCCAGGAAGGAGCTGCCCCGCGGCACCCAGCCGAGAAGCTAGAGGCCTGTTGCTGCCTGGAGATGGCCCGGGGTGGCAGGCTGCGCCATGCGCCCAGCAGATGGCCTCCCTGGGAGGAGCCTGGCAGATGTGTGGCTGGATGGAGACGGGGCGCAGGGGAGCACAGCTTGGGGCCACTCACAGAATCCACTGTCAGCAAATCCACAGGACCCGACCCCACCTTTGCTCTTACCTTCTCCTCACGGGGGATGGGGGGCTGTTGCTGTCACCATGTGGAAGACTCAATTCCATGCGGCTCCTCCTCTTGTCCAGGACCTGTTTCTCCTATTTCCAGAACCTTCTAAAAGTGCCAGCTCACCCAGAGGCACAGGACAAAGACTCTCGGCATCTGTCTCAGCCTCGGCCCTGCTTCCCGACAGGTGGGGGTGCACGGCTGAGAGTGACATGGGGGCTCCGCACACAGCAGCCACCGAGAAGCAGGACCAAACGTGCACGATGCTCAGCCACCTCCTACCCCTGTGGTTCTCTCCGCTTCGGGGTAGGATCCCGCCCCCTGAGCTCTGAGGGATGCCTTGGGCGACCAGGAGGTGTGGTTGTCATGAAGGGATGGGCCATGGGCCTGTGGGACAGGCTGGCGGGAGCAGCACAGCGCGTGGCCAAGGGAGACGGAATCCGTGGAAAACAGGACGATCCTAACCCGGGCAGCGACGCTGCGGCGAAGGGGAGCGGTGTTTCCGGGCGGAGATGGGGCTGGAGACCCTGTGTTCTGTGCGGGGTCCCTCCTCACCTTCCACAGGCGAGGAGCGGCCTAGGGAGGAGCGAGAGGGGTGGCCTGGGGGATGGAAGCCAGTCCTACATCCCTCATCTCCCACCACAGTAGCAGCACCCCAACACCTTTCTGTACAAAGTGCAGAGACCAAGGCAATGAGCCGACGAGAAAGGGAAACAACAGCGGAGAAGCAGAGGGGGGCAGAAACGGGCGGGCGGCGCAGACCCGGGCCCACACCACGCAGCTGGCTCCCCTCGACGTCTTACCCCCCCCCCCCCCGCATCTCTCCCAGAGCCAGGGTCCTCCCGCCTCTGACGCCCTCTGACCTGGGATCTCACCACAGAAAAAATCTCCTCTGCCCCCAAACCTCCTCCCAGCCCCTGGGGCCTGGCTCCCGCCGCCCACTCAGTCTGAACCTCACTCTCACTCTTCCCTCTCCCACCCGCCCCGGCCATCCCTGGGCCTGCCTGACTCACTTTCCAAGTCCCATTGACACAAACAAAAATTTCAGCACAACCCCACTCCAACCGGTTTGGCTCAGGTGTGAGCTGCCACAGGGAGAGACGGGCTACGGGCGGGCGGTGCTGGGCCACCTGCAGGCAATGGGCACCGGGGATGAGGCAGCTCACAGACATGAGGGGCCGGACGGGGAGGCACAGAGCGCGTTCTGCTCGCTGTGTCTGTCTCTGCTGGTGGAAGGCTCCTGGGCTGGCACAGCGTGGTGCCCATGACCTGCCGGTGGAAGGGACTCCGTTGCCTGGCACCAGGCACGCATGTGGGGCACCGCTCAGACGTGCTCGTGATGAAGATGCCGCCGTGGCTTGAATTGCCCCCATTCTTAGGACCCAGAATGTGGTGGGGGAGGGTAGGCAGTGAGGCATGAGGGGCGTGGGGGTCCAGTGAGGAAGGGAGCGCACGCCCGGGAGGCCAGGCCCTGGTCTGGAGAATCCTCCCCAGCCATCCCCTTGCAGCTCGTACCCTAGGACCTGCCTCTGCAGGCTTCATCCCGGACAGGGGAGCAGAGGCCTGAGGGGACACTGCATCCAGCACGGGTGGGGACTCCCAGGGAGGGCGAGAAGGTGAGGGAGAGAGAGGCCCTCCCTAAGCTGGGCACCTCTAGCATCCATCTGGCCTCCCAGCACCTGGGAAGGCCTCCTCCGTCCATGGCTCCATACGGACTTGGGGGGACTCTGACTGCCAGCACTGTGGGGGCATATGGCGAGTGGGGAAGCTGACAAGGCACAGGGCCTGGGTACGGCCTGTGAGCAGACTGCTTTCCCACCCAGGCCTCAGTTTCCCTGTGGCTCCCTGGTCCCAGAGGGAGAGTCCATGGGAAGGAAAAGGCAGGCAGCAGGGCCCACGTGAGACAAGGACGATCACAACACCGGTGCCCTCCCTCCCCGCCCCCACCCTGCCCCGACCTCCTGCAGCGTCAGGGTGGGCTGCTCTCAGCCCTAACCCCACCCTGGCCTGAGTCCTGAGGCTGGAAGGGGCTCACCAGGTGGCCGTGGGGAGAAACTGGGAGTTTGGGATCCAGCCTGGCCCCTGTTGCCCTTGAAGAAGAGGTCACAGCCATGGTCGCTGCTGAGGGTGGGACCTAGAGCCAGGGCGGGGTCACAGGCACCCCTTCACTCATGGCTTCATGCCATGAACAAAACTGTGCTCAGTCTCACTGCACGCGGGAGGCTGTCCCGCATGGACCGCAGACAAGGTTGTAACGCAAGCCTGACTTCCGAGGTGCTCACAGCCCAGCCCCACCCTGCCCCTCGCTTTGCACATTCGCTGACTCCCGGGCACACATCAGGCTTCAATGCCACTTGACTTGAAGCTGACAATTTAGCCAGGAGGTAAGGTGCACAGACGACGAGTGAAGGGCCGACCGCTCAAGCCAGAGCAGGAGGCCGCTCAAATCGAGATGGTCCTGACCGAGTCCAGACGCCGGTCTTGCCAGTGTTATGAGGTAAGTGGGCAACATGACCCTGGCGATGATGGGCAGGGCCAGGTCCAGAAGGGGTGACGCTGAGAGGGCCTGGGCGAATTCCTTGGTCAATCCCTCGGCATCTCCTACATGTGGGTGGGGTCAGGGGGTCACTTTAGTTCCTTCTTAGGGGTCTTTGAACGAGCTCCCCACCTCAGGGGGAAAGGTGTCTGAGCAAACCCAGAGAGGCTTCCAGCACCCTTTCCCCTCCTGGCTCCTCCTCGGAGGGATGGGGGGTGGGGTGGGCAGGCACTGTCCTTGGTTCTGCCTTTCCCTGATTCTGTGGCCCCGGAGCTGAGCCCTCTAGGAGACGGGAGGCCACCGGCTGGCAGGGTGCGGGATGCTCAGGTTCCTTCCTACCCACAGGGCCGTGCCCTGTTCCTGCTGGCCCGGTGCCTCTCTCCTTAGCCACCCGGCCTCTGCTTGCCTCTCTCTTCACAGCCCCTTCCATGCTGCCAGGCGAAGCCTGGAGCTGAGGGTGGAATCCCACCCCCAGGTCCTCCCCTCCCTCCCCAGCGCCCATTAGTCCCGGCCAGGGGGCGCGGCTGCAAGCCTCTGCCAGGCCCAGCCCCCGACGCACCTGTTCTGACCTGCTGAGCAGGTTCCCAGTTTCTGCCGTAGCTGTTGGCCACGGCGTGGGAAGCAGCTCTGGGGGAGCTCGGAGCTCCCATCACGGCTTCTGGGGGGGCAGCTGCCGCTGGGTGCAGAACGAGGCCAGGTCCCCTAGCGGGAGCTCCAGGGGGACAGGCAGGTGCGCCAGGGCCCGAGGACCTGTGACCCTCCTGCCTCCGGGATCGGTGCCCTCTCCAGCCCTAGAGCTGGCGCCCAGGGAGAGCCCGGTGGCACTTCAGGAACGCGGGGCAGCTCTGCGTGGGACCAATGCCCCTGGCCCTGGGAGCCGACATGCAGGGGCCTGAGGCCTGGCTGCTGCTGCTGCTGCTCCTGGCGTCACTTGCAGGTAGGCCTCCCGGAGCCCACAGGACCCTCACTTCTGAGCCACCAGGCCCCCCCCCCCCCCCCCGTGAGGCTGGACTGAGGATCCAACCTCTCTCTCACCCAGCTGCTGGCCCTGCCCCCGGGGAGTCAGGTAGCTCTTCCCCTTGGTGTCCCCTCCTGCTGAGGCCCCTGGGAGGAGAGATGAGGTGACCGGCAGGGAGCAGGGGTGGGCTGGAGGGGCCCTTCCACCAGGGTCCCCGGGAGGAGCCCTCACCTCCCTGCTGAGCCCGGAACTGCTGAGTGGCACTGAGGCTGACTCAGGGGTGAGCTGGTTCCAGTCATGGGGTGTGGGGAGCTGATGCCCAGAGAGGGACCGGGGTTTTTTCTCCTTCTCTCTCCCAGAGTCCCAGGACCAGGCGCCTGGTGGGGGCTCTGGCCCCTCTCTTCCCCTGGACACACTTAGATCCCAGGGTGGTAATGAGGTGACTACTCAGATGGGTTGGGGTCTAGCTAGATGTGGTTCCCTTTTGCTCATTCCTGTCCCCATTTCCTCACGTAGACGCCTTGTATTTCTGCCGTCTAATGTCTATGGAGCTGAGATAAATGACAGGAACTTCTAAGCTTCCGATGGGATAAGACCACAGTGGGCCATGCCCAGGGCCATGCGTAACTGAGACTCCGTTCCTTTGGGACACGGGGACCTGCCTGCATAGGACTCTCTCCCCAGTCCCGGGAGCCGCCACGGAGCCTGGTCGTCCAGCAGGGCCCTTGCTTCCGTGCCCGACGGGCGATGGCCCTGCCTCCCCCCAGCTGAGGCTGTCAGGGCAGCGAGCCTGGCTGTGTGGCCCAGCCTCCAATCACAGGGCACTGAGCTTCTACCCCCCACCCGCACCCCCCATCTTCATCCCCCTTCTCCACAGAGCCCTTCTCACTTGCTCAGGTCCAGAAGGTGGGGCCTGGTTGCCGGGCCTGGAGGCTGGGCGGCCACTTGCCTGCAGGACCTGCCCACACCTTGAGGATGGGGTGGCTGTGTCTCCGGACGGGGCAGGATCAGAGAGGTCGCAGCTCCAACGCCCTCACTGTACGGAGGGAAATGAGGCAGAGAGGCCCCTGGGACTGAGTCCCTCAGGGTGAGAAGTAGGACGTCCTGAGCCAGACCCGGTCCCTACACCCTCCATGGCCCAGAGCTTCTTTCTAAGAGAAGCCAGGGAGGCTTCCAGTTAGGGCGTCCTCGGCCTTGCCCAGGCCTGACAGACGGACAGGGGCCGAGGCAATGGCGGGAAGCAGCCTGGCTCCAGGCCCCCGAGGCTGGTGCCCAGGGAGCCGCTGCAGGCCGCGGGCGCTGCTGTGAGGCGCAGGCTGAGGCTGCTCCGAGGGCCGAGAGGCAGGCCTCGGGTCCAGCCCAGCAGCTGCCCCATCGCTCAGGCCTCTGTGTGTTTCGGCTCCTCCCCAGCGGCTCCCGGAGGCTGAAGGGTTTCTTGTCTCTGAAAAAACCTTGAGTTCTGGCTGTTTCTGCTCTTTATTTGTTAGGGGACCTTGGGCAACACAGAAACAAGTCTTAGACCCAGAGGCGGCGGGTGTCTCCGTGGCTCCAGCCCTGAGGTCCCGGTGTGAATGGTCAGGCCGCACCCAGGGCGGTCTGGCTGTGGTGATAAAGGGGGTCCTGGCTGCCTCTCTGGGTGGGACCAAGGCTGGCTTCACCCTGGACACTGTCCCTGCCCCCCCCCCCCCCCCCCCCCGCCCTGACAGCGCTGAGCCCCAGGGCCGTGCCCCACCCCTGACCGAGGAGGAGGCTGGGGAGGCGCCTGCACCAAGGCTCTTTGTTTCTCTTTAATGAGATGAGTTTCCGGGTGAGGTCCCCTCCCTTCTCCCTCCCCCACCTCCTGCCCTGGGCGTGAGGGACCCGTGTCTGCTGACACCCTCAGTAGCTCCTCTTCCCAGCTGGGTCTGGCCCCAGTGGGCCCGCAAGGCCAGGGGCGGGGGCTCGCCAGTCCCGCCCTCACCCTGAGGGGGACCAGCTTTTAGTCTGAGGCTGGTTTCCTAGAAAGGGAGGCACATCCCTGCTTTTCTACTTCTGTTGTGGGGCAGCCCTTTCCTGTGGGATCTTCCCCACCCAAGGCCAGAAAGGGGGGCAGGGAGGACACCCCAAGACCTCAGTCCTACCCTGGTGCACAGAGATGGCGGCGACGGGCTTATCGCAGAGCTGACGGCCCCAGCCTCTAGACTGCAGCCTTGGGGTCCTGGGGTCCCCAGCCAGGTGGATGGTTAAGCCTCGTGAGGGAGAATGCCTGGGCTTTCTGGCCTCTGAAACGTGCCCTTCTGAACCAGGTCTAGGGAGGAAGGAGCGTGGGGTGGGCAGGAGCTGAGTCGGGAGGGAGCCCCTGGCTGGACCTGGGAGCAGAATAAAAATGGAAGGTGAGGCTGGGAACTGGGGCCACAGCCCGGGGAGGAGGGTGCACGTGGGACCGCGCCGCAGGCAGGAGCCTCTGGCCCTGGCCTTTCCCATCATCCTCTGCCCCTCCCCCCACTCACCTCAAATTGGTGTGTGCTGAGAGCTGAGGTGAGGCTGGGATTTGGGTGGGGCAGAGCTGGCCACACTTGGAGGGTGGCTGGCAGGATGGGGGGGGGGGGCGCGGGTGGTAGGATCTCAGGAGTTTGGGAGAAGCTGAATTCTGGGTCTCCCACCCACAGTGTGGCTGTTTGGTGACTCAGCCGGGCTCAGACTGGCTCCGGGGGGTTTAGAGGACTTATCTGAGCTGGAGCTGCGTCTGGGCCGAGTGGGGCTGCCTCCAGGCCTGCCCTGCCCCATTGTTCTCATCCCCCGCTCCTGCTGCGGCCCCCTCCCCAGACGCTCATCGGTGGGTGGGCGCTTTGCCCGGGTTGCTAAGCTGGGGGCTTAGGACAATGGGAGGTAAGGAGGGAGGTGGATGAGCAGAGTGAGACTCCTGGTTTTACTCTGAGGCCAAGGTTGCCCGGGAGGGGAGGAAACAGGGCTGTGCTGCCGTCCTGAATGGGGGCTTCAGGGATCTCCTTCCAGGTCCTTTCTCCCCCCAATCTCACCTGTGTCTTCTTCCACTCTCTCCCATGGAGGCTGCGGGGGGGGGGGGGGGGCAGCGTTAATGCGGCTGAGACCCTGGATGACTTGGACCCTCCCTTAGCCCCCCGGCAGCATCCTCCTCCCACCAGCCCACACCAGACAACCCTCACCCAGCCCGGGCCAGACCAGGGTTGCCTTGGTGGTGGCAGCAGACATTCCCAGGGAGAGGCCTCCTCAGGCCACAGGTGCTGGGGGCCCTGGGGAGTGGCTGGGGGAGGAGGGGGAGTCCTGAGGACAAGGGTAGAGAGAGCTCTTGTTCTGTTGTTGGGGAGCCCGTGATGGCAGCTGCCCAGGGCATCCCCTGAGAGACATGACTTCATCTCTGGGCCCCTCCACCTGAGATGACTCTGCCCTTGGTGAGGTGGGAGGGCAACGTGAGGGACATTCCAGATGGACACAGCCACACACCGCCCACCGGGCAGCCGAGACAGGGAGGCATGCAGACACCAGGGGAACCCACATCCAAATACTCGCCACGCGCAGAGTCCGTGGGACAGGGTGTGTCACACACTCGGGTTCATGCCTCACCACAAGCACATACACTCATGAAGGTAAGGCATGAACCCGAGTGTGCAAGGAGGCAGCCTCACATGCATGTGAACCACAACCAGAGCAACCAGGCCCTCACCACAGGCTCACACTCCCCTCCCTGTACCCCCGGGAATGCTGGAGGGAGAGGCCCCTCCCAGGAAGAGCCTCCCTCCGGAGACACTCCGTGGTGGCAGCCTCAGTCCCCTCCCGAGGTCACAGGCCAGGCCTCACACCCAGGAAAGTCGGGACAAAAGCTCAGGGTGGGAGCAGCCAGGACTGGAGGACCTGTCTGGGAGCTGGTGGCGTGGGGCCTGGCCGGGGTGGGGAGGCCGAGGGCAGGGATCCCGTTGGGCCAGTTGGGCCTGTTCTTTCCCTTGCGCAAGGTGGTGGCTGGTGGTGGCTGTGGCTCCACAGCAGGTCTGAATCACCAAGGCTCCTGACCAGCGTCCCGGGCTCTGGGAGGAGGCTGGGAGGGTCAGAGGGAGGAGTGCAGCCAGCAGAGGCCACGGGCCTCAGCAGTGTGCAGCAGGAGGGTGGTGGGCCTGGCCTGGCACTGGGTGCTCACACGGTGACCTCACCTGGCAGGCGGCTTTGGTGACATCATCCTTTGCTCTGGTGACATCATCATGCTATGCCAGGTAGGTGCTGGCTGGGGGAGAGGAGGTTGCTCTGCGCTGGCGGCTGAGCTCTGGATCCATTTGAGCCCAGCTCTCTCCCCTGAAGACTGCAGCCGAGGGCTTTCCTGCCTCACTGGGTCCTGTGCAGGCCTTGGGCTTGTCTCTGGGGAGTGTGGGTCTTGGGCTCACAGTGGGGATGCGAGGATTGGACTCAGGCATGTGCTGGGCACTTGATGCCTGTTGTGCTCTATGAAGTTATTTTGGGGGGAAATGTGGGTGATTAGTGGGGAGGGGGTGGCAGATGGTTGGCAAGCCTCAGGAATGAGTGAAAAATAGGCCTCTGACAGTGTCCCAGAAACAGTCTTTAGAAGGGCTCTGTGCCTGGCTGAAGCACTGGACCCCTGCGGCCTGCAGACAGCAGTGCTGGGCGCAGGGGACGTGCGGGAAGCCCACCTCAGGCCTGCCCTGGCAGCCCTGCCTTCCTGTGTCCAGGTGATGTGCTGGGAGGGGCGCAGGCAGTTAGCTGGACTCCCAGGCTGGGCTGGGTGGGACCAACATCAGCTCAGGCAGCTCAGGGCCCTGGCATCCAGCCCTGCAGGTCTGTCCTGTCCCTTTCAGGCTCTCCCAGCTCCCAACAGCATCCCCCCTCCCCCCTGCAAGTAGGGCTGCAGGCCCCTCCCTCTGCCCCTGCTCGGCTCTGCCTCGGGGAACCCTCAGATCCCCTGTAGTTGGGCTTCTCTGTCTCCCCGCCCCCCCATGCTTGCCTGTCCACCCCTTTCTTTTCTTTTAAATAAAAATATTTTTATTGATTTCAGAGAGGAAGGGAGAGGGAGAGAGAGATTAAAAATATCAATGATGAGAGAGGATCATGGATCGGCTGCCTCCTGCACGCCCCACACTGGAAATCAAGCCCGCAACCCAGGCCTGTGCCCTGACTTGGAATCTAACCGTGACCTCCTGGTTCACAGGTCGACGCTCAGCCCCTGAGCCACGCGGGCCGGGCCTCCACCCCTTTCTTTTTTCCTTTGCAGTGAACCCAGCTAACCAGTCTGTCCTGCCTGCACCCCAAGGTTGGCAAGGTTGCCATGCACACCCCTCCCTGCCTAGCCCAGCCAGACTGCTCCTTCCTCCTGGGCCCACCCTCTCCCCCTTCTGCCTGTCTCTCCTCGAGTCGCTCATTCACTCATCCAGTCATCAGTAAACAGGGATTGAGTATCAATTATGAGCCAGGAATGCAGACCACACGCTCCCATGGGAAGCACTGAGTCAGAATCCACGTTTCCACAGGTGATGTGAGGCCCAGGCTCTCCTCTGAGGAGCTCAGCCTGGTGGGAGGCAGCTGCGGCCCCTGGTAAACGCCGAGCAGGTGAAAGCAGGCGGCGGGCAGGCGCAGGCAGACAGGAAGGAGGGCATCGGGGCGGGCGCCGGGAGCAGGTGTGGGCAGCGGCCTTGAGGGTCTGCGTCTTCCCCTCTCCCCGTGCAGGGACCAAATCCTGCCCTTTCCCAGGAACAGCGCCTCCTCTCCCTCCTAGTTCAGGTTCTCGCTTTCCCGCCGGAGGCACAGCACCCCTGCCTCCCGGATTCGTGACTCGCGTTCCCTCTTGACCGAATCGGAACCCCTCTGCCTGGTGCGGAAGGTCCCGGGCGACTGGGCTCCAACCACGGACTCCGGACCTACCTGCCTCGCTCGTCCTCTCCGCCCACCTGGTCGCGCACAGCCCAGGGCTGTCTGCCCCGCGAGCTGTGAGGCCGGGACGGGGCCTGCTCCGCAGATGAGGCTCCGGGGCAGATGAGGCTCCGCAGATGAGGCTCCCGGGGCAGATGAGGCTCCCGGGGCAGATGAGGCTCCGCAGATGAGGCTCCCGGGCAGATGAGGCTCCCGGGGCAGATGAGGCTCC